TATTGTAGATATTTGTGAATTCAACTGGTCTCATGGGTAAAACGAAAACAAAGGAAAAAGGGAAATCACCAAGTGTGTCCACTTTTGACACTTTTAAGTGGACAAAATCTGATGTTGTGGCCAGGAACACTAGACAGTAGGCCATGTCGACCCTGCCTACAGATGCTGTTCTTTAAGGGGGAATTCCACCAACTTTTGCATAATTTCTGCAGAATTAAAGGTTAAGATGTAAACAGAGTGGTTCTCAGTGGTTCTGAGTGGTTCAGAGTGGTTTGGTGTGAAACGCTCCGTTCTAGAGAAACTTACCGAGTCAGAACTGTTCACAGTGGTGGTGATAGGAACCAGACGTCCACCTCTAAAAGCTCCCTCACAGAAAGTTCCTACAGTAAATGGTTATGAATTCACTGCCTGATGACTGAGACACTGTTTTATGATAGTTTAGAGAACTTAAACTCCATTCCTGGTGGAGGGATACATGCAGGGCGCTGTGAGGCAAAATAGTCCCCAAAGAAAACTTATTATTTCAGATTTTCCACTATTTTCCATCATCAACATTCATATAAACTCAGAAGACTCGTGTAGGTTCACTGGTGGTTCTGGATAGTAAATAAAATGTCTATATTTGTGTTGTAGTCATGGCGACCCCTGGTTCCTATCACCACCACTGTACAGACATCTGAACCACTTCACACCAAACCACTCTGAGTCACTCTGTTTACACCTCACACACTGAGTTATGCAAAAAAAAAAATTCAAAAATTGATTGAATTCTCCTTTGACCCCTTTGTAACTCGTCAGATGCAGACTGACCTTTGTTCTGGAGATACCTGCTGTGGTCCCTAGTATGCACTGCAGTGCTGAGCAGCTGTGATGGACCTTCAGCATCTGTCTGTCTGTCCAGCAGAATCTTCCACACGGCTCCAGGTCTCACATTCCTGCTCTCCGTCTCTCAGTGAGCCGTGAGTTTAGTCTGTGTGCTGGAGGAGAGATTTTCAGGAGGTCAGCAGAGCCGACGCAGCTTTAACTCTGATAAACCAGAGATGGACAGATTCGCTGCTGTTTGGGGTCCAAACTTTAGACAAAACTATTTAATCCTCCTGTTTTTCCATGATTGCCTTTGTTTCCCAGTTGGCTCCAGTGCTGCATGTATAAACATTCAATCAATCAACCAACCTCTATTTAACCTCGGAGAACATTGAGGGTGACCCTCATTTACAGTGTTGCCGAGTTGATACAGTAAAAAAGGATTGATAATGTGTTAGAATATATCAAAGAATATAAGTCAATTTAATAATAAACATGACTCAAATCAGGTCAATATTTCAAAAAAAAGAAACAATAATAATGAAAATACATTAAAAAAACAATAGAAAAAATATACAACAACAATTAAAGCATAACTAAAACGTGAAAGTTACTAAAATCAAAAGAAGATAAATAAAACAGGAGAATAAGATCAAAAAAGGAAACTAAAATTAAATAAAATGACCTGAAATAATAAAATATTCATGATTAAAACAAGAATATGAATAATCATAAATAAATCAATAAATGGAGAAAAATTAAAATGACAGAAATTCTGAAAATAAGACAATAATAGTGACATTCAAGTAAAAAAATTATAATAATTCAAATTTAAAGGAAAATTCCACTGATTTCTCAAATTTCTGCATATTTTTAGTGGTTGAGTGGTGGTTATGCAGTGCTGACTCCGGTGAAATGGTGGAGCCTTTATTGAGATTTTATTTAGAGCTGGAAACTTGGCTCTGCAGTTAAAAGGCTTCAGCTCCTGAAGAGATTCTGCTCTGTAATATGCGCTGAGTCGTCTCCTCCTGCTGGGGTTTATTAAATAAAAGGAAATAAGAGGAGCTGCCAGCTGCTGTAGTGATTTGGTGGTGGTTCACCACAGGATTCACCAGAAAACCACACACACTGCTCCTCTGCTCCCTCTAGTGGCCCCACATCAAAACAACCTCCTCTTTTAGATCAGATAATCCTTTATTAGTCCAATAGTGGGGAAATTCACAGAGCTACAGCAGCAAAGGGACAGCAAGGAGCTCAAGACAAGAAGTAACAGTAAGATAAAAAATATATGAATAATATAAGCATGATTATTAAAAATACAAAAAAATATATTTGCACTGTAAGGATATTTTAACATGCAGTATTGATTACATTGCACATGGGAATGGTGATGAATTAACAATATAAACATTATAAATAGAAAAAGCAAACAAATGTTTACACTATAGAGAGATGGAGATTTTAATTTTTAGTTAGGGTCAGTTACAGCATTTCTTTTTGTTACTTTATTAAATTTAACTAACTTGGAAGTCAAGCTGTATTATTCAGTTTGAGTATTAGGCATTAACAGTTCCCAAGAACGCCTCGGTCGACAGTCGTTGCTGTTGCACAAAAATACATTTTTACGATATATAAATGTATACAGATAAATACAAGTGTGTGTGTGTGTGTGTGTGTGTGTGTGTGTAAATATATACATATATATACACATTACCAAATAAACAGTAACTGTGTATGCAAAAATATAGTTTTTGACCAGGAGTGCAAACATTTGTGCATGCTACAGTATATATGTGTGTATATATATTGTATAAATGAATGAGAAGTAAGTAAGTTTAAATGTGGAAACACTCTCCTTTTCATATGTGCTTTTAATTTTAATTGAGGCACGATAGAGGCCAGCCAATCAGAACAGAGCTCATTTACATGTCTCAGTCTGAAAGGCACAGTAACAGAAACAGCCTGTTTATTTAAATAAGGGCATTAAAGGAGGTTAAATGAAATGAAATATAAGGAAAAATAAATTAAGCATAAGAAAAATGTAGTATATGAGCTCTTTAATGTAACCTGTAGCTAAGAGATAATATGTACCCTTTATCTGTCTTCTCAGGCCATCTCGGCAACGCAGGTCCCTCGTGGGTGTGGCTAACAGGACGACCTCTGACCTTCTGACCACGCCTTTCGTCCCTCCCAACACCTCGGCCACGCCCAGCCCAGAGGAGGAGGCGGAGGCTAACAAGATCATTCAGTACGTCTACGCAAAAGAGTCCACGGTCATCTCCAACCTCAGACACTTCACCAGCTACCAGATCGAGGTCCACGCCTGCAACCACCTGACCGAACCCACCCGCTGCAGCATGGCTGCATACGTCAGCGCCCGCACCATGCCTGAGGGTACGCAGAGCCATCCAGAGCCACTTACACTGCTTACACACTCACTGCACACTGTATACAGCTGTTAAATTATCTCAAATAGCAATCCTGCTCATTTTGATATCTTTAAAGGGGTATTCCACCAATTTTCCAGAATTTTCTGCCTAATTGAGCATGTGAGATGTAAACAGAGAGGTTCGGTGTGAAATGGTTCAGATGTCTTTACAGTGGTGGTGATAGGAACCAGGCGTCGCCATGACTACAACACAAATATAGACATTTTATTTACTATCCAGAACCACCAGTGAACCTACACGAGTCTTCTGAGTTTATATGGAATGTTGATGATGGAAAATAGTGGAGAATCTGAAATAATAAGTTTTCTTTGGGGACTATTTTGCCTCACAGCGCCCTGCATGTATCCCTCCACCATGAATGGAGTTTAAGTTCTCTAAACTATCATAAAACAGTGTCTCAGTCATCAGGCAGTGAATTCATAACCATTTCATGTAGGAACTTTCTGTGAGGGAGCTTTTAGAGGTGGACATCTGGTTCCTATCACCACCACTGTGAACAGTTCTGACTCTGTAAGTTTCTCTAGAACAGAGAGTTTCACACCAAACCACTCTGAATGACTCTGTTTACATCTTAACCAATTAATCATGCAGTAATTTAGGAAAAAATGGTGGAGTTCCCCTTTAAGATATATATATATATATATATATATATATATATATATATATATATATATATATATATATATATATATATATGTATATATGTATATGTATGTATGTATATGTATGTATGTATATATGTAATATGAGCGAAATTGAACCACTTCATATTCTCAGTCGTGTCTGTAAGGTGAAGCTAGCAGAACTAGAGGAGCAGACAGAGATCAGGTTAGAGTAAACAGTAAAATAAAAGCCTGGAGACGAGACGGGGTGTGTGGAGTCAGTACAGCTTAGAACATATCATTTCAGTGGATTATGGTTCAGTTATGATCCCTGACTAAAGGCACTGAGATGGACCCTTGAGGGACCCACCCCAGTGACAGGAGGGGGACTGACCCAGTGACAGTTTACTACCTTTATTTCTGAGAGTGTTCGTGCAAAACCTTGGAAACATGGAACAACAGTTAAGAGATTAAAGGAGTTTGTGTTTGTTTGTGCAGATCATGCCGATGACATCGTGGGACCGGTCACCTTCGAAGTCGTGGATTATTCGGTCCATATCAGGTGGATGGAGCCAAAAGCACCAAACGGCATGATCATCCTGTACGAGGTCAACTACAAGAGGCTGGGAGACACAGAGGTCAGACGTGCTCTCGCTGCTGAGCCGAGGGTCTATAACAGTAGTCTGATGCACTCTGGCTGCACTTCTGTAAAGATTTATAAATCAGCCATGTTGAAATCGCTCCGTATCAGCAAGCTATTTTCAGCCGTGTGTTCCAGTCGCCATGGTTACCGTCTGCACGCTCAGGGTGGGAGAGGCTGGGCCTCTGTGCTCTTCATGATAGAATACTTTATTAACTGCAGAGGAAATTGTTTTTAAAGAAAACAGGACACAGCAAAGAGGTTTCTGCAAATAAGAGGCTAATGTGGTTAACAAACAGCGAACGCTTATTTCAGGGGTTGCAACCCAAATGTTAAGAAGAGCCATTTTGTCCTTTCAACAAAAATCTACAAACTACTGTAGGCTAAAAAAAAAAACAATATAAACAAAAACTTACTTTCGTCTGCTTTAAGCTTTAGCTTCGCCATTTCTCGCATCTCCAGCAGGAAACCTCTCCTCAAAAGTAGATCAGTTTCTTGTAAAATGTCTCTCAACATTCGATTTTTTACGAGGCTGAAGACGCTTCTCATTCGCCAGCTTCTTGTTCAGATTCTCCCGTTCCACCTTAAATGGTGCCTGAGGCGCCAGAATGTAACTGTTGCACCATTTAAGGTGGAACGGGAGAATTTGAACGCGAAGCTGAGTTCAGCTTCATGACTTTTTAGTGTTTCAGTTTCTCGTTGCAGATTAAATGTATCAGGAAACCAGCTGGAGTGATTATAAACACAAATGAGTCCATTCATCTCCAAATTATCGATGTTTATCTTAAATCTCTCTCTTTGCCGTTTCGTTAGCTACTAGCTAGGTGAGACTGTTATCTGCATTGCTATGGTGACCAGCAGTCTGCGCTGATCTTCAGGGTTAAAGGGTGAATTAGCAGTTCTACATTAACTCCAGAGTTTAAGACCATTTATTGTTAAACTGTGTTGAACGATCAGCAGTTTTATTTTACTGCAAAGGTTAGTGCATTTACACATCCACCCTACAGCAGTTTAGCCCCACCCACTGACACTGAAGTTATGAGGAGCGTTTCAGCCCGGACTGCTTTTCACACGAGGTGCAGTACCAGACGGCCAATCAGAACAGAGCTTATTTACATATATCATTCTTAAGAGTAGTTGAAAATGTTAATGTGACGATGAAATATGGCTGTTTTTGGTACATAAACCCATCACAAAATATAGACGTGAGAAAAATAAAATACAGAAACATTTAGTTTTCTCTGTTTTTCTGGCCGTTTTGTTGGCTGAAGTGTCAGTCAGTGCCTCATGGCTGAGTGTCGTATATTTCCAGGAGCTGCATCACTGCGTGTCCAGAAAGAGCTACATCAGTGACAGCGGCTGTAAGCTGAGAGTGGTGCATCCTGGGAATTACACGGTGCGGGTTCGAGCCACTTCGCTGGCGGGGAACGGATCCTGGACGGAACCCACACACTTCTATGTGCAGGACCCCCGTAAGTGCCGCAGACGCACGACCTCTGAGACTCAGAGTCAGTCAGTTTGAAACGATAGCAGCACATAGACGTTTGTTACAGTGCATCATTGTGTCGTGGTCACTGTGATGCCTCATGGCTAGTACATTAGCTCAGGGACAGTCTCAGCCACCCACAGGAAAACAGTGTGGTATCTTTTACACGCTGAACTGGCCACAATTACAAATGTTGTTGAAACAAAACCTTTAAAAACTCGTTCAGTTTTTCACAATTTGAAAATGCCTCTTGCTCTTTACATTGAGTGGACATTTGATGATCAATAGACAGAATTGTGCCAAAATACCTGGGGGAAAGTCTGGTTACCCTGACGTTAAAAGTAAAATATGTTTTTTCTTTCTCCTGTAAAATTATCAGTTTGGAGATACGAGGTTTTGTCCTGACAGCAGCGAAATATCTGTTACATACTTTTTTCTGCTGAGCGCAGCATCTGATCCATCGTAAAATATGCATTTTCTTTATGAAAGGTCTTTGTTTCATTCGCTGTTGCTTGTGTTGTCCGTCTGGGAGCAGGTGTGGACCCGTCCAACATGCTGAAGATTGTGATTGCCCCGGTCATCTGCATCGTCCTGCTGCTGCTGATGGGATTGGGCGGCTTCATCATGTTCAAGAAGAAGTGAGTGTGTTCGTCCAGAGAGGATGCATGTCTTAATCTTCACACCAGCAGACTTGATTATGTGGTTTCTGACGCTGTGTGATACTTTCCTACTTCGCTCTTGGCTGAAGCCGTTCTAGTGTTTGGAGCTTTGCTAAATGTCTGTTGTGTTTTCTTTAGGCAAACTGAAGGGCCGACGGGACGCCTGTACACCTCACCCAACCCGGAGTACCTCAGTCCAGACGAAGGTGAGTAAATGCTTTATTCTTCCTAACCCTTTAAATCAGGGGTCAGCAAACTGCAGTCCGCCATATACAACCTGCTCAGCCTTTAAACACAGCTCACAGGTGACCGTGGGCAGTCTTCTTCAGATTCTCAGCTCTGATTTACAGGGTCTTAAGGGTCCTTAGTTTACAGGGTGTTACACCATGCACATTAAACAGTATGCAGGGGTGTGCCTTAAACTCGTTTACCTGCTTTACACCTTCGTTAAACTATCATTAGCGGCATTAGACTAGCTTTACCTGCGTTAAACCTTACTTAGACTGTCATTACCTGCGTTTGACTAATGTTGTCTGCTTTACACCTATGTTAAACTATCAGTACTTGCATTAAATTAATCCTACATGCATTAAATCTGTGTAAAACTATTATTAAGTGTGTTATACTAACGCTATTTGGGTTAAATCAATGTTGTTATTACTAGACTAGCATTAACCTGCTTTACACCCATGTTAAACTAACATCACCTTCGTTAGACAAATTTAATGCTTTAAGCCTGTCTCAACTATCATTACCTGTGTTAAAGCAACTGTACCTGCGTTAAACTTACATTAAACTATCGTTACCTGTGTTAAAATAACTCTACCTGCGTTTAACTTACATTAAACTATCGTTACCTGTGTTAAAATAACTCTACTTGCGTTAAACTTGCATTAAACTATCGTTACCTGTGTTAAAATAACTCTACCTGCGTTTAACTTACATTAAACTATCGTTACCTGTGTTAAAATAACTCTACCTGCGTTAAACTCCTGTTAAATTATCGTTACCTGTGTTAATTTAGCAGACGTAAGCCCGTCCACCTGATGAATGTGGAATGTAAAGAGCAGATCCAGGTCACAGCACAGATGACCACAGTAAACCTTAACTGTCTGTCGAGTGGACGAGTGATTCACAGGAAGAGTATGTGTGAGCTGTGTGTGGAGCGCAGTGCCTCTTCCCCAGATCTCACCGTGAGGCTCTATATCTGTCGTGATGATACGCAGTCACAGATACCCAGTCTAGGTGCATAGAAACAGAACATAATACTCACAAACAGAGCCGACTGTCCCTCGTTATTCAGCAGCACTGTGACTGCTTACACCCTGCACACTGACCGCTCACACTCCTCACACTGACCCTTACACAGCGGCCTTCTGAAACACACCGTCTGTCTGTGAAAACAGGAGGGTCTTAAAGAGCTAAAATGCTTATTACAAAAGTTCAATATTTACATTTTTGAAAACTAATTTTTTCATTTTATTACTTGTCACAGATTTATGGGACTACATGTGTGTATATATATATATATATATATATATATATATATATATATATATATATATATATATATATATACACATAAACACACACATATATATATGTGTGTGTTTATGTGTATATATATATATGTGTGTGTGTGTGTGTGTGTGTGTATGTGTATATATATATATATATATGTATATATATATATATATATATATATATATATATATATGTATATGTATGAGACTTATTACATTTAGGTAGTGACATATATAATTTGTATTGACGCGAGTTTGTTCGTGTGTGTTCAGTCTACGAGCCGGACGAGTGGGAGGTTCCTCGGGAGAAGATCAGTCTGCTGCGTGAGCTCGGTCAGGGCTCCTTTGGCATGGTGTACGAAGGTATAGCGAAGGACATCGTGAAGGGAGAGTCGCAGACCCGCGTGGCCGTCAAAACCGTCAACGAATCGGCCAGTCTGAGGGAGCGCATCGAGTTCCTCAACGAGGCCTCCGTCATGAAGGCCTTCAGCTGCCACCATGTGGTGAGAATGAAAACATTAATCGTTACTTGAAACTATTAATCATGATTAATCAAATTAGTTCATATGATTAAAGCAAATAGATCGCAGTTGTTGTGAAAACAACAGTGAAGTCTGTTGTCGCTTCATAAGATTGCATCACCTGAAAATCCTGTGATTTCACAAAGTGAATGGTAACTGCTGTTTTATTGGTTTATAGGTGAGGCTGCTGGGCGTGGTCTCTAAAGGCCAGCCGACACTGGTGGTGATGGAGCTGATGACCCATGGAGACCTGAAGAGCTACCTGCGCTCCCTCAGGCCGGACGCTGAGGTGAGAACACACAAAAGGGGGGAGTAGAGGGGCTGCGGAAAATGAGTCACGTGGGGGGTCCAGATAAAGGAGGGTCAGTCTGCAGCTTAAAAGAGCAAAAACAGGACAGGTGGGCTGCAGTGTAGAAGCCCCGCCTTTATCATGTACAGGAGGATGATGTATAAACCTGCACACAGAGGAAATAAACTGGAGCAGCACAAAAAAATAAACCAAGCAGTAAAACCACAATGTAAACAAAGCAGTAGCGTCAGCACTTTATTGATCAATGATTATTTCTCATTGCTAAAAATTTTAAATCACCATAGCAACTGTGTTCTTTTGGTGAAATTATAAGAAAATAATATATTAGTGTTAATCTGCTAAAGGGGGGCTTTTGGAGGCCAGAGGACTAACTGTATATTTTCACTTTAAAACAGTTTTTACAGTTTTTCTTCTAGAACAGTGTTTTTCAACCTGTTGGCTGCTGCCCCCTAGTGGCCTGTGATGGTACTGCTGGGGGCCTTTAGTGTTGCTTTTTGTTTTGTTTGTCTGTTGTTCTTTTGGGAAAACATGATTACAGAACATAGACAGTTAACCAGATTTTAAACATGACAAATATTCATGTGCTGATTATTTGCAAAAATTAAGCATCAAAAATACCAAAGTATTTAGGCCGAGCTCAGTAATTGGTGTGTCAAAGTACATGATCAAAAGAACAGTCAAGTCAGCTGAATACGTGAATATAATTTTAGTAAAACATCATCATATTGAATTTTTGGATAAATGACTACCAACAAAAAAAAAAAGGTTCTGATTTTTGTTGGTGTTTGTTGCTGTGTGATCATACAGTCCAGCGGAATTTGGGTTATTTGTCTTATATTGGAAACGATGGGGTCAGTTATTCTCCTAGTTGGCTCTTGTGGTCGGTTATGTGGGCCACAAGTTAGAAAAGTTTGGGAACATCTTTTCTAGAACTTAATATGAATGCATAGATCGCTGTTAAATCAGATCTAATAAGATCGACGGACCCCGGAAGGTGTATGGGGGAGTAAATATCGGGGAAATCTCTGAATTCGACCACAGCCTCTCAGTACTTGTGTGGAGATTAGCTCTGAATTTAAGACCCAGTGGAGATCGTTTGTGGTCAGTGGCTGTGGTCACTCTGTCCATATGAACTGCTCCGTGTCTCTGTGTTTGTATCAGAATAACCCCGGCCGGCCGCCCCCCACGCTGAAGGAGATGATCCAGATGGCGGCGGAGATCGCAGATGGCATGGCCTACCTGAACGCTAAGAAGTTCGTACACAGAGACCTGGCGGCCAGGAACTGCATGGTGGCCGAGGATTTCACCGTAAAGATCGGAGGTGTGTCGCCTGTTTTACAGCTTTTAGACACGCCTGGAGCTTCTGTTTCCCTCTGAACAAATATAATAAACATTGATTACTGTAGGAATGGGCGTGGTTATTCAGATATACAGACGTAGGAGCTTATACTAGTTTGGATATTAATAAATCCATCAGGATTTATTCTTTAAACTTGCCTACATTAACTATGTGAGCCAAGTCCGTTCACACGCTGCATTTGGCTAATAAAATAGTCACGGAAGGGCAGTTGGGGCGGCACGGTGGCGCAGTGGGTAGCGCTGTCGCCTCACAGCAAGAAGGGCCTGGGTTCGATTCCCGGCCGGGCGGCCAGGGTCGTTTCTGTGTGGAGTTTGCCTGTTCGCCCCGTGTCTGTGTGGGTTTCCTCCGGGTACTCCGGTTTCCTCCCACAGTCCAAAAACATGCAGTCAGGCTGACTGGACATGCTGAATTGCCCCTAGGTGTGAGTGTGTGTGACTGTGTATGTCTGTCTGTCTGCCCTGCGATGGACTGGTGACCTGTCCAGGGTGTATCCTGCCTTCAGCCCAATGACAGCTGGGATAGGCTCCAGCACCCCACCGCGACCCAGAAGGATAAGCGGTTTAGATGATGGGTGGATGGATGGATGGGCAGTTAATCCTTTTTCGTGCTGTTTGAATATTTACATTTTTAATTATTTGTATTTGAGTTGAGTTGTATTTAAATATCCCAGCAAGAAACTTAGAAGCTGTCTTAACCATGTTTTAGTGAAAGTTGCTCACTGATCTGCAGTTAAAACAGTAGCACAGTTTTCATTTTAAACTACTGTAAAATACTGCAGACGTTTCAGTCTTTGTAAAGCTGCAGATCATCTAATGACGGGACGATGGCCTGAACACGGATCAGAACTGGGTCAAGATTAATCCAGGATATAATTTAGTTTGTTTTTGTTTCTGTCTCCTGATCGTGTCTCCTGGAAGACTTCGGCATGACTCGAGACATCTACGAGACGGATTACTACAGGAAGGGGGGGAAGGGTCTGCTTCCGGTCAGATGGATGGCCCCGGAGTCGCTGAAGGACGGAGTCTTTACTGCCCACTCGGACTGCTGGTAAAACTCTCACCCGCTCATATGATACTTTCTTGGGACACAACTCCAACTGAGTAATGCTGCACATAAACCTATAAATCCTAACCTAATAGTAATCCTAAACCTAACTTAATCCTAACCTAAACTCAACCCTAATCCCAACCTGAACTTAATCCTAACCTAATCCTAACCTAATAGTAATCCTAAACCTAACCTAGTCCTAACCTAAACTTAATCCTAACCTAAACTTAATCCTAATCTAAACTTAATCCTAACCTAAACTCAACCCTAAACCCAACCTGAACTTAATCCTAACCTAATCCCAACCTGAACTTAATCCTGACCTAATAGTAATCCTAAACCTAACTTAATCCTAACCTAAACTCAACCCTAAACCCAACCTGAACTTAATCCTAACTTAATCCTAACCTAATAGTAATCCTAAACCTAACCTAAACTTAATCCTAATCTAAGCTTAATCCTAACCTAAAACAAACCTAATCTAAACTTAATTCTAACCTAAAATAAACCTTATCATAAACTAAACTTAACCTAATCATAATCCTAATCCTAACCTACTCCTAACCTAATTTAATTCTAACAAACTTAACCCTAAACCCAACCTGAACTTAATCCTAACCAAATCCCAACCTGAACTTAAATTTAACCTAATCATAATCCTAATCCTAACCTACTCCTAACCTAATTTAATTCTAACAAACTTAACCCTAAACCCAACCTAAACTTAATCCTAACCTAATCCCAACCTGAATTTAATCGTAACCTAATAGTAATCCTAAACCTAACCTAGTCCTAACCTAAACTAATCCTAATCTAAACTTAATCCTAACCTAAAACAAACCTAATCTAAACTTAATCATAACCTAAAATAAACCTTATCATAAACTAAACTTAACCTAAGCATAATCCTAATCCTAACCTACTCCTAACCTAATTCTAACAAACTTAATCCTAACCAAATCATAATCCTAATCCTAACCTAAACTCAATCCTAACTTAATCCTAACCTCAGTATCTTAATTACAGCTTCCTATAAAGTAGTCGTATTAGTCGTAGTAGTAATGATAGTAAAAGTAGCGAATGTTTTGCTATTATCATTATAATAATTAGTAATAGTAATAAAAGTAGCTGTAACAGTTTTGTTTATTATTATTAATAATAATAGCAGTAATAATAGTAAAATATAATAGTAAATAGCAGGTTTAATGTTTTACTCTTCTAATAATAATTAGTAGTAAAAGTAGCTATAGCTGTTTACTACAATATTAAAAATAATTATTAGTAATAGTAGTAGTAGTAGTAATAATAGTATCTATAACAATAATTTACCTTTATTATTTGTTTATTATTGTTGTTGTTATTATTATTGTTGTTGTTATTATCATTATTATCATCATTATTAGTAGTAGTATTATTAGTGGAGGTCGTTTTAAAGCGTGTCTGTGTTGTGTTGTCGTCAGGTCGTTCGGCGTGGTCCTGTGGGAGATCAGCACGTTAGCTGAGCAGCCATATCAGGGTCTGTCCAACGAGCAGGTGCTGAAGTTCGTGATGGACGGTGGATACCTGGACCGGCCGGACAACTGCGCTGACCGACTGTGAGTCACAGCTCTTAGCGGCAGATTTTACTGACACAGACGGTCAAGATAGAAAAGACGTTTCATCATCACTGCAGAGCACCGAGCTTAAAACGGCCGTCCAGATAATTCAGCTAAAGCTGTGCGTCAGAGTCCAGCTCTCAGCGTAATCAGCGTGTAATGAAACTAACAGACGAGCATCGATACACGTTATATTGGAGTATAGTGGCTAACCTGTTAGCTTGGAGCTAATATATTAGCTTCTGGTTAGCATGTTAGATCAAGGCTAACATATTACAGGGAATCGTACTGCTGGACCATGGCTAGCGCGTTAGCTCGGGCTCACATATTAGCTTGCGGCTAGCGCGTTAGCTCGGGCTCACATATTAGCTTGCGGCTAGCGCGTTAGCTTGGGCTCACATATTAGCTTGCGGCTAGTGCGTTAGCTCGGGGCTTACATGTGCGCAGTGGCTAGCACATTAGATTGTGGCTAAAATACTACACTATACTATGTGCTTTGTTGCTGTATTGTGAGTAGTGTATTAGCTTAGGGCTAACATTAACTTGAGGCTAGTGTGTCAGCTTGTGGCTAACATTGGCTCATGACTAGTGCATTAGCTTGGGGCTACATTAGCTTGTGACTAGCGTGTTATATTGGGGTAAACATATTACAGTGTAGTATATATTGTATCATGGCTAGCATATTAGTTCAGCAAGCTAACGTGTTAACTTGAGGCTAGCGTGTCAGCTTGTGCATAGCGTTAGCTTGTGGCTAGTGCATTAGCTTACGGCTAATATATTAGCTTGGGGCTCACATATTACAGTGTATTATATTATATTGTATCATGGCCGGCATATTAGTTTAGCGAGCTAACATGTTAACTCGTGGCTAGTGTGTCAGCTCATGGATAACATGGGCTTCTAACTAGTGCATTAGCTTTGGGCTAACATTTTAGCTTTGGGTTAACGTTTTAGCTTTGGGCTAATGTTTTAGCTTGGGGCTAACGTATTAGCTTTGGGCTAAAGTATTAGCTTTGGGCTAACGTTTTAGCTTTGGGCTAACGTTTTAGCTTTGGGCTAACATATTAGCTTGGCGCTAAGGTATTAGATGGGTCTCCCATATTACAGTGTATTATATGTGTCGTGGCTAGCGTAGCGTTAGTTAGTGAGCTACCATGTTAACAGCCCTGATGCTGACCTGTCTGCCTTTCCTCTCTCAGACACAACCTGATGCAGATGTGTTGGCACTACAACCCCAAGATGCGTCCCACCTTCCAGGAGATCATCGAGATGCTGAAGGAGGAGCTGCACCCGTCCTTCCAGGAGGTCTCCTTCTTCTACAGCGAGGAGAACAAGCCCCCGGAGAGCGAGGACTTCGACATGGACATGGAGAACATGGAGAGCATCCCTCTGGACCCTTCGTCCTACTCCCAGCGCGAGGGTAGCGCCGACGGGGACGAGGGGTCCGCCGTGGGCCTGAGGGGCAGCTACGACCAGCACGTGCCCTACACGCACATGAACGGCGGAAAGAAAAACGGACGCATTTTATCCCTCCCCCGCTCCAGTCCCTCTTAACGCGGACCCCCGCGTGCCCCCTCCTCCCGCCAGACAAGCTACGCTAGATTCATTCGTTCTTTTATACGGTCACTTTTATCACACTAGCTCCACGGTGCCCTCAGACAGACAGCGAGACACTCAGGACTTTCATTTTCCATTTTTCTCCGCTGCCACACGAGTACCACAGTGCAGGGTGCCACCGACTCATTTCTCCTTTTGTATTTAAAGAAGACGACGAAGGAAAGTGCACAACGTCATCTGCTCCTCTGTTTTAAATGTTGCCAAGTTTCCAGAACTAAATGGAACAAACTGTGAATCTGAACCTCAGACAACCAGACGGCTGCTTATGAACCCCCTCCAGACTCTTCCCTCTCCTCCAGCTGCGGCTTTTCCTCCAAAAAAAACGAAAGAGAAGACGAGGAAGACGGAAAGAAAAGTGGCCTTATCGTATTTGTGGCCTATGTCGAGGTCTTTTGTATTGAAGGTGGACGTCCTAGAACAAACTGCTTTGGGCTACAGGAGCCTCCACTTCTCTCTCTCTCTGTCTGTCTGTCTGTCTGTCTGTCTGTCTGTCTGTCTATCTATCTATCTATCTGTTTCTCTCTCTCTTCAGTATTTCAGATCACACAGAGAATGGGCCGATATACGGACTTTATTTTCTTATTTATTTTTGTTTCTTGTTTTTTCTGAAACATTTACAGCTGAAGGATATCAAACCCGTATTTTCAGGACATTTGGACACAAACAGTTCCTCAGATTGACCAGTAGTTGCTGCTTTGATATATTTTAGTAGATATAGATGATGAGAAAAAAGTATATATGAATATATTATTGATGTTTTTTGTTTTTTTTTGTTTTTTGTACATAGTGGACATGTCGTCGTTGAAGAGCTATTGCCGGTTGTAGAAATGTTTTTACATGTTTATTTTTTTTTCTTTGTCTGTCTGTGAGCTTTATTTTTTTCTAATTCAGAAATCGTACTAATCCCGTTCTGAAGCTCTGAGCCGCTCGCTCAGGTGGAAGTATTCTAGACGGCTTCGGATGTCAACACTTGATATCGATTGAAATTACTGCTGTTAATAAAGCAGCGAGGTGCATTCGAGACGAGAGCATGACGCGCTTCTGTCGTCTTTCCTGACGTGTGATGTGGCTCTGAGTGTTTTTCTGGGGACGTTTGGTCAAACGCAGGGTGGAAACGGATGGTCTTTGATGAAAAGATGGTACTTTAACTACAAAATCGTAGTTGGTTTTGATTTAATGTGATATTTCTGCTACAAAAAGACATTCCAACAAAAATGGACCTTCACCCTCCAGCAATTAAAGAAAAATGCAGGTACAGAACATTTAAAATAGCTGAAGCTGCACTATGTAATATTTGTTGCTGTTAAAACTGAAATATGTCGTTACTGCGTGAGGTGAATATAAACAGGCTAAAATAGCCTGTAAAGCCTGGAATAATCATTTAAAAGTCAGAGTGTCGAGTTTTTCACTCCACGTCGTACGTCTTTACGTATTAACATCACACACAGACTCTGAAAGAAGGTCCGGCTCGATGTTTCGGCCTCAAATGATCTCAGAATCAACATCACACTGATGAAGATGTGATGATGCTAATAGTAGATAATTCACTCAGATCCTCAGAAGCTCCTTCACCGAGTTTACACTGAGTTCTCTTTCAGATTCATCCACTCGGAGAAGAAGCACAACCCACACTAGAGTGTTCTGTGTGCAGTTACACATTTCCACCAGAGGGGGCTCCAAATCCCCAAAACTTGGTGTTCCTGAAAAGAAGTGATTTTAAAAGCACAGTAGCGCGTAAAGTCCATCTGGGCAGTAAGCATTTATTTGATTTATTTGATGGAAAAAAGAAAATGTTCGATAAAGAAAACCCGAATAAATAATCCGCTGTGATTGTTGTTAGTTTAACCATTTCCAAATCTCTCCTGGAGGAAGTCCATTATTTACAGTTACCATCCAACACCTGCTTTATCTAATCAATACTTCATTAACCCCGTAACTTCTCAGGATTATTACATACTGAGGCTTGTTGTTCAGTAACTACAGGGACTTCAGTGTAAACTGGCTGAGCTATTCTTAGATTTTAGAAGTGTGTAATAAAACTTAGCTGTGACCGTTTAAGGGGTCACATTAAATCAGACGCCGCTGGAGGCGTTGAGTATTTGATGCAGCAAGAATCCTCGACCAAATCAAGCTTCACGTCTCCATCAAAGCCCATAGAACCAACCTGAAGCTCTTACTCAGGATACATTATGAGAAGAACCAAAAGACGAGCTGTACGATAAATGGTATTTTTATCGTTATCGCGAGTTTCCATGATAAACATAATTACAGCTGTGATCACAGAACAGATCAAATTGCCTCATACATGTTAATGGTAATGATACCTCAACCGTTAGAAGCCTAATGAGAGCTTCTCTGAGCTGGGACTGAACTCTGCTCTCCCACACAGAGAAGTGACTTAACCATCAGGCTAAACAGCCAAACACAACACACACAGCAGCTCAAACACTCCTCCATCCTGGACTACAACACACACATCAGGACTGTTCTCACACAGTGTTGTGTTCTAAGTGTGTGAGGCAGTCATGGCCTCTGTCACAACATATTTAAGAACTAAACAAAATAAATAAAACAGTTATTCATCCTTGAGTGCCTGCAGAGTAATAAAACACATTTATTTGATTTTGTAGTCTTTATAGAAAAGGCTGTTGAGGTGATGCTGGCTGTTTCTCGGCTTTGCTCTCAGTTCTGATGTAGCAGCCGTTGGTATTTCATTTCTTTTTATTTTGAACAATATTGAAAAGTGTTTCTGTAACTTTGTATTCTGTAATTTGCTTAAAGGAGAAGTTAGTCAGATTTCTGTTTACACAAAAACAGTTTGTACTTGCTTCACATCCACTTAGAGGCACACTGTTTCAATAATATATCACTAATAATTGATCTCTTTTTCATATCATCATCGTGATATCAGACAGCTTTATCGGACATCGCGTTTTATGTCAGCCCTAGAAAAGACCACTTTCCTCAGAACAGGTCAAGGCAGAAGAAGACGACCAGCTACAAGATGGATAGAAACTCCAGCCATTTAAAGACCTGGACCCACCCATTTCAGTAACTGTCCGGTTAACGGCACTTAAAATAGTAATAATTATATTAAACCACTTACGAGGCAATAACATCATCATATAGAGGTGGGTGATGTTCCAGAAATATATTGTGAGACTTCAAGAAATTTTCATGATATATGTAACCATATTTATTTTTTCAGACGTTTGATCAGAGAAAAAAGAGCCAGTAGAGCTACATTAAAAAATACTGTCAAAAACTGTGAACACTGATTTTTATTCAGTATTTGTCACTAAATCCAGTTAAACTGACTCATTTTATTTTCTGTATTATGAACTGTGCAGCTGGTCAGTGTCTACAAGCACTGACGATAAACACCATTGGATCAGAAAAGCATATTGTACTTTGACAATTTATCATGATAACGATATATATGATCATATTGTCCAGCTGTTTTACAGACACAGCAGGAACCTGTTAGCTGGAACAAACAGCTGTGTAGCTGTTCACGCTGGTGAACTTCATGTCCACCATTAACATGCTTTGTTGGCAACTCTTGTACATGTTATTCATTCATTTTCAGCTTGAAGTGTAAACGTCTTAATTACAGCTAATATTTTCCCAACTTTCCTGTTTGTGCAACAGACGGGTCACAAAATACATACAGTAAACGTGTTTATCCACCACTTTATTCACGAAGCAGCGTTTCTGAGCGAAGTCGCTCTGCTCGTTCGCCAATCAGCTATAAAGCAAATGCTTTAAAGTGATCAGTGAGTGAAGAAGTGATCCGATCCAAACGCAGCCGACGTCTCAACAGGCCTTCTTTTTCCCTTTTTATCCCACAACTTGAAAGAAAACAGTTAAAATTCTAACAGTGTCAATTCCACAATATCTTGTGACCATCTAGCCCTGCTCCCCCCAACCCCTTAACCCACCCTCCTCACCCTTTCTACCCCACCCTGAATAACCCCCACAGTCACTGCCTGTGACTAAATAAATAAATAAATAAAATTAATTAATAAAAAAATAAATAAATAAATATCAAAAAGATAAGGACGTCTTCTAATCTGTACTCAAGTTAGATAGGCGTTTAAAACATGATGAATGGTTGCCAAATCCGGTCGAATATGTATGTCTGCAGAACCTCTCAGAGTAAATTTAATCTTTTCTAAGTCCAAGAAAAACATGACGTCGGTTAGCCGTACAGCGTGCACCAAAGGATCATGATGAACGGACCAACAGAAATACATGAAAAGTATGTTTTTTCTTTCTCCTGTAAAGTTACCATTTTGGAGATACGAGGTTTTGTTCCAACATCAGTGAAAAATAATCCTTAACTGTTAATTAGTTCATTTCTTCCACCAGCATTCAGCTGTGAAGCCTAAATATACACCAAAAAACAAAGAATAAATAAAATCTGATTCTGATCAAAGTACTTTTATAACATTGTTTTTACATATAAAATGGATTTGTTGGCAAAGTAACTTTTTGCCATATTTCTCCTTTGTAAATGTAATAAAAATGGACACCCTATTAATTTTATATTAAAATTTAATACACACTAAATAGGATTTACAGTCATGAGTGTTATTTCTTCAGTGTAAATGTAACTTTCATGTCATCAGTGTGATTTTAAGGGCACTTTTAGGAATCCAGAAGTGAAGGCACATGAAGATAGTCCGAAGACTCTTATTTTGAAGGGGTCACAGATGTAGAGGCGTGAGGCGCACAATTTAGGTCAAAATGCTGCCTGTAACCTCCCAGCCTCATCTTGCGTTGGCGTGATGGCGGCACGTTCATGTACGAAATCGCTACTCAAATCGGTTCTGAGGCAGGGCCGCCTTCGAGGTAAAACGAACGTGATTGGTTACCAGCCAACAGGCGGGGATGGATGTGATTGGTTAAGCAGAGCAAGTTGGAATGAGAGATATACTATAAGATTTGTCATATAGAGGTATACTGTTTTATTTTTCTGCCATGTAACTTGTCCCGCAGTTTTCGAGATACACTATATTGCCAAAAGTATTCACTCACCCACCCAAACCATTGAATTCAGGTGTTCCAATCACTTCCATGGCCACAGGTGTATTATGCCACCTGTGCAAAGTCCAGTCGTAAAATTTCCTCACTACTAAATATTCCACAGTCAACTGTCAGTGGGATTATAACAAAGTGGAAGCAATTGGGAACGACAGCAACTCAGCCACGAAGTGGTCGGCCACGTAAAATGTCAGAGCGGGGTCAGCGGATGCTGAGGCGCATAGTGCGCAGAGGTCACCAACTTTCTGCAGAGTCAATCGCTACAGACCTCCAAACTTCATGTGGCCTTCAGATCAGCTCAAGAACAGCGTAGAGAGCTTCATGGAATGGGTTTCCATGGCCGAGCAGCTGCAACCAAGCCTTACATCACCAAGCACGATGCAAAGCGTCGAATGCAGTGGTGTAAAGCGCCACCACTGGACTCTAGAGCAGTGGAGACGTGTTCTCTGGAGTGACCAATCACACTTCTCCGTCTGGCAATCCGATGGACGAGTCTGGGTTTGGCGGTTGCCAGGAGACGGTACTTGTCTGACTGCATTGTGCTGAGTGTAAAGTTTGGTGGAGGGGGATTATGGTGTGGGGTTGTTTTTCAGGAGGTGGGCTCGGCCCCTTAGTTCCAGTGAAAGGAACTCTTAATGCTTCAGCACCAAGAGATTTTGGACAATTTCATGCTCCCAACTTTGTGGGAACAGTTTGGGGACGGCCCCTTCCTGTTCCAACATGACTGCGCACCAGTGCACAAAGCAAGGTCCATAAAGACATGGATGAGCAAGTTTGGTGTGGAAGAACTTGACTGGCCTGCACAGAGTCCTGACCTCAACCCGATAGAACACCTTCGGGATGAATTAGAGCGAGACTGCGAGCCAGGCCTTCTCATCCAACATCAGTGTCTGACCTCACAAATGCGCTTCTGGAAGAAGGTCAAAAATTCCCATAAACACTCCTAAACTCCTGTGGAAAGTCTTCCCAGAAGAGTTGAAGCTGT